CGATGGTTAGAGACACTGAGCGATATGGATGGGTGTCGTAAACAGTGGCGTTCGTGCATCGTCTCAATTTCTTTGCAACCTTAGACCACTGAATGTCTCCAGTTTCTGTTCGACTCCACTTTCAACTTTCTTTTCTTCTCCTAGTGTTCATCGAAATGGGCAGCCAAAAGACAGCAAGCAAAACCGGCACACAAATATGCGTGGTTAATGGTTGTACAAATTGAAACTGCTCTCACAGGGTACAGTTTAGCGCATCAAAACTGAGAATATTCTGGAGTTTGAAGCTGGTTGTGAGAAAACGTCCTCGCAAAAAAGGATGGACGATTGTGCGGAAGCAAAAGCAGAGTATATAGTGATGCTGTTTAGCAGATATGATTTTTATGTTTGAGTTGGGAAAAGTCCAGCTGCCGGGCCTCACAGTTAGCCTACAGGTTAATTGGTGGAGTTTATATGCCTCTGTAAGTTAGATGTGTCATGCAAATGCAAAAAGATCAGTGCCGTCAGTGTGGTATCGTAGATCAGCTGGTAGAGTGTGCGCTGTACAAAGGCTTAGGCGATTCCCATGCGCAGGGTTGAAGCCCACCGAGGCATTCGAACATTTCACAATTCTAACACAAGAATTCACAGAGTTGCTTGTGACAAAGTATTGAAAATCCGTCCTCGTAGCTCGAGTGAACTGAATTCTATTTCGAAATAAAGTTGCTTGTACCTGTATAATACAGGGGAACTGCAACGCAGCGAACGTCAGGCTTTCATTGGTCGAGATAGAATTACGTTCAGAGCATTGTTGTCACTCACATCTATGTCTACATACCACGCAAGAATATCAGTCGATTCGCGTTTACTTAAAAACACCACGATGTATGTATGAGGCAACAGTAAAAAGCGGGAATCCTAATGTCACGGGTCAGTCAGAAACATATCGGATACTGCGCAATGCTATCGGTCGAGATAAAGAGAAAGACAGTAGGATACAAACAGAAATTTTTGGTTCGGTGTGAACAGCTCACTTCGAGAGTATCATCCTCGCACGAGTAAACCCGAGTTGGATCCCATGCCGGTGGTGCTTCTTCGGGGTTGAATACCATCTTTAGGCAGTCTATTACCCT